ATGTTCTCTCCTTGTCTTCCCCTATCTAAATATCTTCAGGTGAACGATGAGACGGATATGCAGTCAGAAGGTTACTAGTGCCATCTGAATAGGAACTCTTGCTGCTGAGGATGGGAACGGAGCACTTATGGGAGTGTCCCGAGTGCTGTGATGTCGATTCCTAATTCAAAATTGAATTTCTGAAAATCTGATGGTTGTTATGTTATCCTCGTCATATGTTTTGGCCACAAATGTTGACTGCGTCTTACTGATTTGTGTGATACTTATAGCTAGTCGCCGTGGTGCAGCCGCTAGACTGGGAGGTCTTGGGGTCCTGACAAAACCGGACTTAACAAAACAATTGACCTTGACTGGTCGATCCAGTAAAGAGTGGGTACTAGGTACGGTCTTGGAAAGTAAAGGCGGCAGGAGTGATGCTGACAACATGACCCACCAAGTGCTGATTGTTCTATAAAACATATAGGTCTAGCCTTATGTGCCCAGTAGGTCTGAAGGCATGAGAGGGGATCCTTGACTGACTTTTTATAGTCATAACTTGAAAACATCTAGATTACAGAAACATGTCAACAGACGGGTTTCGCTGGTTCCTAGTATACTCCTCGTGTAGGTTTCGGGTTTCAGCTGTGGGCAAGGGGGTTGCGTGATCTCGAGGCATGGTGTCCGCCTCGAGTGCTAGAGGTCCGGGATTCAAACTGAGGGCTGGGATTTTTTTTACGTGGACGTAGTAATTTTCTCTGGGTAGTAAGACCGGACGCCTGTGTGTATTGTTGCGCACGTACAAAAATCCCTTGGCAATTTGAAATCGAAAAGAGCAGCTTAACGGCGCTGCCAAGGCAACATTTAGGAGTTAAAAGTCTAACGAAAATATTTAGGGATCCTCGCCTGTGCAACAGAGTTCGTGCACTGCGCTGAGATTCTTCCGACTCAGGCTTGAGTTAGAAGAAAAACTGAGCACTTATTGGTTACACCTGTGTGCCATGGTATTGATCCGTTGAATTAACATAAACTGTGGAGGAAACTTACAAATGCCTCCCTTCCAAGCATGTCGTAAGAGTCGACTAGTTAGAGGTTTTCGTCGAAGTCGGAGAGCATCTGTCGAAACGGCAAGGAACAAAGTCTGCATAAAAATGTGTTACATCTGTAAAATCAACAAGCACGTAAAAACTCAAGTTTCAGAACAAGCCTATACTTTAGAAGTGGACCAACAACCATTACTTTCCGCCGGAGTGTACAACTGTTTTTTTAAAGGACGGCTGGTGAGTCGTGGTGTTGTTTACAGCTAGGATGCGATATTCGGTCCAACAATCTGATTTTAGCGAACTCCTAGTCGCCATTTACGACATGCTTTTAAGGGATAATGGCTGTTAGTGAGTCTGTTCTCATATTCACTCAGAATGAAGCTCCGGAATCCACACAAGGAATATACACAATTGCAGGGAACTTTGTAACTTCGGTTTTATTGTTTCAGTGACTGGCAAAGAAAACACGCACGTGAAATTATTCCTCCTCGTCGCCATTCGCCAACCCAAAGTTTGTTTTGTTAGTTTTTGCTCAGCCAGCGCCCACGTAAAGAATTCACGTTTTTTTACGACACCTTGTGCTTCCGGTTTGACTGCAGAATTTCAGTTGAGAAATGCACAGTGACTAACGTTTGTTTTGTTGTAAGTTTCTTGAAACTGCAAAATCTTCGTGTTGCTTTTGCTTGTTTTATTTTTCTAATAACAATAGTTTGATGAATTCAGAAAGAATAATGCACACAGAAGTGTTGGAATTATCATGTACGTTTCTAGCTTTGGACGAAACTGCATCGACGTTGTGTCCATCGACCATTGTCCCCGTGGGTCAAGTGTCCACTCACTGACCATTAAAAAGAAAGAAAGAATCATCAGAGAGCAGTATTAAACACTACTAAACTAAACTACTTTACTAAACGATATATCTGCACAGTTCAGCATTATGTTATGTATGATCCCGAGTGATCCATTTGGTCTTGTTTCTCCCCAAGTCAGTTTGTCATGTTTTGAAGGGTTGACCACTGGTCACCTTCCAGAATAATCTATGGATCATTAGATGCAATTCTACCTACCTGGAACCCTCCCAGCATATTCCCATTCATTTAGTACCATTCTCTCCTTATCAAATAGTTTTGTCCATCTGTGATGTACATTGTGGTGTGACACCTGCTGTCCACAGGTCCATATAGCTTGATTTCCACCACCGGCATGCTAACTCAACTAACTGGCCGGATCAATCTAGGATCTTATGTCTGCAGCATATGTTCAGTATTCTACAGTGCCTGTCCACATGAGCAAAGTTCTGAGTTCCCAGTCTGAAAGTGTTTGTAATTATGGCTATGATGGAGTCTATTGTTCACAGTTTATATTATAAATAAATAGAAATTCACACAATGGTCTATATGATGTATCATGAAAAAGTCCTCTTTGTCAAATAACTTGTCTTTATGGTTATCACAATTTCCCCAGACCCTATCATGTCATAACGGTGTATAACCCAGCCCCAATAGGCTAGCCAAGAATAGTCACACTAACAAACCGAATACCAGAAAAAAAAAGTCTTAACATCTACAAATGGCTTGGTGTGAATTAAGACCCATTAAAGGGAGATAACAACAATTCTCACAAATGTGACTATAGTAAAGTCAGTATCATAATGACAGCATGTAAGCATTTTGAGTAATAATAAATCTCCATTGGGCGATAATAAAATATGTATGTTCATGACCTATGAATGTAGTTGCTAATTTATGATGTGTGTTATCTGGGGAAAGAAATTCTTTAACTATTATCACATGGTAATGAACTAAATGTTGGATTGATTTCTAGAAATTTTGAGGAAATGTAGCTAACATTTAGTATGTGTGTTTAGAGAGAGGCCAAAACATAAGGACAGCTTATCAAAAGATGTATTGTGCCAACATCTATCTTCATCTGTTTTTCTTCTTGGTTCACTGGCTGTACAATCTGGCAGAAAGTCCTGGTTGTTCGTCCATTTGGCTATGTGTCAGGGTCTGAGTTTTGCATGTCATCCGTTTTACTGCTTATTTGTGTGCAGTTGGTTCTTCCCTGCCCACCGGGTAGATGCACTCCGACTTTGAAGGGAGCTCCAAATTAATCGACTCCTGCGTCATACTTGTGCAGGCAATGGGTCTATTCTTGCTTTCCTCACTGCGTAGCCCCAGAACCCACATAGGGAATCCCTCTGTCAACCTCTGCCTCTAATATCCTGAAAGTTTCTTGTTACTGCACGATCTCTTGGAAGTTTCTGGTCCTGCTGTTGTCACTTTATTAACGTACATATATTCAGTTATTTTGGAGGTCTCCGGGTCTAAGCTTTCTTTTGACGTAATTTCACAAAGATAATTCAGCTCTTCTTTCAATACAGGCCGGTAGCTGGAAAGCCGCCGATCGGCTTAGTGGGAGTTCTCTCCCTTGGCTGCAATGCAAACATGGAGCGGAAAAGTCACGAATCAAATGACATAATTACCTATCATCATACGGTTGCGTGTATGGTTGCGTAGTCATCATACGGTTGTGTATGGTTTGGGTTAGGGGTAGGGGTAGGGTTAGATGTGACAATTTTGACGTAGGAGTTCCATATACTGGCCGACAATCTGATGCTTGTGGGAGTGGCGCCACTGGAAATCTCCCAAATATGACAGCAATAGCGCGCGGCTGGTGCCCAATCGGTGGCGAATTGTCCGTTTGAGTAGCATCCACAGTCCTTCGATTGTTTGGGTGTGTATGTGACTGCGCGATTATTCGGAACTCCTGCGTCAAATTTGTCACATCTAACCCTAACCCTAACCACGCAAATTTATCGGTCAGTCATACAGATCTGCAGGAGTCACATCCGTGGCAACTAATACCACGTTTATATATATAAGGATATATTTACTTCAAGAAAACCCCAGATATCCCCGAAGCGTCGAATAAACACCCAAATGTGGGGGTAACACCCAAGCATTGGCAGCCCTGTAGTCGACCTCACTGTCATTTTTTATTCGTGACTTTTCCGCTCTGTGTTTGCAATGCAGCCAAGGGAGAGAACTCCCGCTAAGCTGATTGGCGGCTTTCCAGCTACCGGCCTGTATTGAAAAAAGAGCCGATAATTCATTACCCACACTAGGACAAGTTAGTCGTCAGTTTTTGGGCATATCATGATGCAAAGCTGGAGAAGATGGAGACAGAAAGCCACAGCTGAAAGACACATGGAGAAAATGTTGGATGGTTTAACACACTGGTCTGGAAGACAGTCAAAAACTGAATATTGAAGAACACAAAAAGTTTCTATTTAGGAATATGTTTGCATTCACTGCTCAACATGACACATGATGCTGATATGTTAGCTCAAAATTGTAAACCTATTGACGTCATGAAAACATCAGTCTGGATGAAAAATAGGACTAGTCTGCTTCACAGTACCACAATCAGGAATGACAGAATGGATGTTGCAACCAGGATGCCTTCATCAGCATGTGACGCATAGACACTGATACAGTTACAGCTAACAGTACACAAATTCACTTGGATGTCACAAACATCTCAACACATCTAACCAGTAAAGGACCCTTCTCCATGCCTTCAGGCATATAGGGCTAGACCTATATTTGATTGACCAGTCGGCACTTGGTTGGTGATGTGGTCAACATCGTGTTGGTTGCCTTCACTTCCCAGGACCACCTGGATCGACCTGGGAGCCAAGGTCATTTATAAAGTCGGTACGTCGGGATTAAAACTCAGACCTTGAGATCCGCAGGTGAGCATCTAGCCGCTACTGCATGGCGGCTCCCACGCTGCTAGACTAGATTCCTAGCAGTTTTTTTTTCATTTTTCTTTCCAGAATTCCTGATGTGCTAGGTCAAGTCAGCCTGAGTAGATATGGTCAACCAGTTGTTGCTGATTGAGCAGATGCAAGTCTTATGATTCAGAAGTTTTTTTTTATTCACACACACCTGATTAGCCAGTCTCCAGTTGAGCACGATGAGTAAAGAAAGCACACGTGGCTCAGAGGCACGCTCCTCAGCTGTTAGTTCTGCCAGCAGTCTTCCACCTGAACTAGTTCAAGCGGGTTGGGGACAGTTCTGGAGCAAGCGTGAAGGCAGATATTATTACTTTAACAAACTCACCAATGAATCTCGCTGGGAACTCCCTGTCATTGGGATGACAGTAAGTCTTTTTATTGTATCAGTTGTCTCAAAAGTAGATTTGGCACAAGTTGTTTCAAAATTAAATTAACTGTGTCAAAAAGCGTTAAAAGTCTATGGTTAACCACAAGCAGGGAAATACAAGCATCTTCTCTGTAGCAACATACGGATGTGAGTTGTGTACTGTCTGGGAGACTTTAAGTGGTTAGTGAGATGCTGTCCAAAGAGTCTCAGAATAGCATGGCTAAAAAAGAGAAATACCGACTTCCTAAAAGAACAATGAAGATTGGCTACTAAATAGCATCTCGTCTCAGAAACTGGATTATTTTGGCCATATCAATCACTGTGATGGATTAGAAACAATAAAAGCAGAGGGCATGGTACCAGGAGGAACCGCAGGGCCAAACAACGTGAAGATAGGCACATTATAACAGTTACACTTTGGGTTGGAAGTGCACTAGGCAGAAGAGACCCAGTGGTAGACTTGGTTAAGTAAATGCCATAGTGTATTGATGAAATTCATAATACAGTGGTACATTAGCATACATCTGCTGTCTAATACATTCTACTGGGTGTATGACAGACACAGCAGATTTTGCTTGGGATATGACCTTTGTTTGTAATGCGAACTCATATTCTAGAACTTATGAACCTTAACTAGGTCCAAGTAGGGAAAAGAGATGAAAAAGGAAAGACAAAAAACACAATTTCAGATTTTTTTTTCTATCGGAAGGGGACTGTCCTCCTACTTTCTTCTCAGCACCATCTTAGAAGGCATTTGACTCTTCTCTTCAATGTAAAGTGGGGGTTAAATGTTCATTTATTTCATCTCATTGCTTCTGTTGTGATGTATTTGAGTTTACATTATTTTATACAACCCCGTCAGTGTATGTTATGCCAATAACAATAGGATTCTTTTCTTCATGGGAATGGATTAATCATTCTCTGTTTATTTCTTATGAGAAACTCTGTCTGATCTATGTCCTGTTTGGATAAGCCCAAGGATTAAGGACATACTCTGAGGTACCTCAGTTTGATATATGTCCTGTTTGGATAAGCATAAGGATTAAGGACGTACTCTGAGGTACCTCAGTTTGATATACGTCCTGTTTGGTATAAGCCCAAGGATTAAGGACGTACTCTGAGGTACCTCAGTTTGATATACGTCATGTTTGGTATAAGCCCAAGGATTAAGGACGTACTCTGAGGTACCTCAGTTTGATATATGTCCTGTTTGGTATAAGCCCAAGGATAAGGGACAGAGATAACTGAGGTACCTCAGTTTGATATATGTCCTGTTTGGTAAAAGCCCAAGGATTAAGGACGTACCCTGAGGTACCACTATATTTAAATCACCACTAATCACTGGTATCATGTGGGCAGTCAGACTGACTGCATTGGTTGTTGCATAATGAGTTGTATGGCAGATAACAGAAACTGAACAAAAAGTTGAATGGGAGTATACCACGAACCAGACCAAGAAGACTGGGGAGTTGTATGGCAGATAACAGAAACTGAACAAAAAGTTGAATGGGAGTTTACCACGAACCAGAGAGAATGTCCTGGAACAGGACTGCAGTCCAAAAGTGGATGAACAACCAGAACCTTCCGCCAGAGTTTACAGCTGGTAAACTCAAAGAAGAAAATAATATACAGACAGACCTACAAACACTTGAACTAGGAAGACTAGATATAGAGACAGTTTGCAGGTGATATTTGCAACAGTGATTCTCAACTAGGAAGACTAGATATAGAGACAGTTTGCAGGTGATATTTGCAACAGTGACTCTCAACTAGGAAGACTAGTTATATAGAGACAGTTTGCAGCTGATATTTGCAACAGTGACTCAACTAGGAAGACTAGTTATGGAGACAGTTTGCAGGTGATATTTGCAACAGTGACTCAACTAGGAAGACTAGTTATGGAGACAGTTTGCAGGTGATATTTGCAACAGTGATTCTCAACTAGGAAGACTAGATATAGAGACAGTTTGCAGGTGATATTTGCAACAGTGACTCTCAACTAGGAAGACTAGTTATGGAGACAGTTTGCAGGTGATATTTGCAACAGTGACTCTCAACTAGGAAGACTAGTTATGGAGACAGTTTGCAGGTGATATTTGCAACAGTGACTCTCAACTAGGAAGACTAGTTATGGAGACAGTTTGCAGGTGATATTTGCAACAGTGACTCTCAACTAGGAAGTCTAGATATAGAGACAGTTTGCAGGTGATATTTGCAACAGTGACTCTCAACTAGGAAGACTAGATATAGAGACAGTTTGCAGGTGATATTTGCAACAGTGACTCTCAAGGGCTAGGAATTCTAAAGAAGTATTATGGAACAAATAGCTAGGCAAGGACTCATGTGAACAAGTAATGTCTGACAGTTTGGTCATAGATAGGGAAGCATTGGAGAACATGATGATGATGAGAAAGGTAATCAGTTAAAGGGTTAGAGGCATTTGTAGAGAAATTTGTGATATTGGCAGAGATTAGTATCAAACTAGAGATTTCAAAGGACTTAGATCCATACAGAGACCTGGAAGACTGTCATCTGACATTAATAGCAGCAGTGGTAGTAGTATCATCGGCCATGGTAATGGGAGCAGCAACAGTAGTAGTAGCAGCAGCTGTGTTAGTAGTCATAATGCCCACTTGAGCCCACAGCTGGTTTTATCACTCATCTGAACCTACAATTAGCTCTATCATCTGTCACCCACCTCAACCCACAGCTGGGTCTGTCACCTACCTCAGCACACAGCTGGGTCTGTCACCCACCTCAACTGACTGCTGGGTCTGTCACCCACCTCAGCACACAGCTGGGTCTGTCACCCACCTCAGCTCACAGCTGGGTCTGTCACCCACCTCAGCACACAGCTGGGTCTCTGTCCCCCACCTCAGCACACAGCTGGGTCTGTCACCCACCTCAACCCACAGCTGGGTCTGTCACCTACCTCAACCAACAGCTGGGTCTGTCACCCACCTCAACTGACAGCAGGGTCTGTCACCCACCTCAACCCACAGCTGGGTCTGTCACCCACCTCAGCACACAGCTGGGTCTGTCCCCCACCTCGGCACACAGCTGGGTCTGTCACCCACCTCAGCACACAGCTGGGTCTCTGTCACCCACCTCAATTGACAGCTGGGTCTGTCACCCACCTCAGCACACAGCTGGGTCTGTCACCCACCTCAGCACACAGCTGGGTCTGTCACCCACCTCAACTCACAGCTGGGTCTGTCACCCACCTCAGCACACAGCTGGGTCTGTCACCCACAGCTCAACTGGGTCTGTCACCAAGCTGGGTCTGTCCCCCACCTCAGCACACAGCTGGGTCTGTCACCCACCCCAGCACACAGCTGGGTCTGTCACCCACCTCAGCACACAGCTGGGTCTGTCACCCACCTCAACCCACAGCTGGGTCTGTCACCCACCTCAGCACACAGCTGGGTCTGTCACCCAGCTCAACACACAGCTGGGTCTGTCCCCCAGGTCAGCACACAGCTGGGTCTGTCACCCACCTCAGCACACAGCTGGGTCTGTCACCCCCACCTCAGCACACAGCTGGGTCTGTCAATCAACCCCAACCCACAGCTGGGTCTGTCACCCACCTAAACCACAGCTGGGTCTGTCACCCACCTAAACCACAGCTGGGTCTGTCACCGACCTCAGCACACAGCTGGGTCTGTCAATCAACCCCAACCCACAGCTGGGTCTGTCACCCACCTGATCCTACAGCTAGGACTCCCAAAGAGAAAACTACTCAAAAAATCTTTAAAATAAAAACAACTTGATATAGCCTAGCAAAGTGATTTGAAACATTGGGTACATACATATACTGCATTTGCCTGACATTAGTACCAGCCAGCTTGTTTCTTTCTGACCTGTAGCATGATCCCCTCACAGACCCTCTGCGTATCAACACAGCGGCCTGTGCCAGTGAGGGGCTGAATGACCAAGCCTCAGCTTCCCTGGACAGCAGCCTGGGTCAGTCAGGAGGTGACATCAATCCAGTAATGGCTGCCCTGAAACGACGAGCATGTACACAGCTGTTTGGTGGCAGCAGCAAAAGGGCACACTTAGGCTACAAGTAAGTTTGTTTCACATGTATCATCATTTCGGTTCAGCTAGTGGCTGTTGTAGACTTGTTTAGATGGCTGGTTGAAGCTTGAAGTAATTGCCTATTGAGACATGTCCTGGTGACTGTAGAGACAAGTTCTAGTGGCTGTTGGGACATGTTCTAGTGGCTGTTGGGACATGTTCTAGTGGCTGTTGGGACAAGTTCTAGTGGCTGTTGGGACAAGTTCTAGGGGCTGTTGGGACAAGTTCTAGTGGCTGTTGGGACAAGTTCTAGTGGCTGTTGGGACAAGTTCTAGTGGCTGTTGGGACAAGTTCTAGTGGCTGTTGGGACATGTTCTAGTGGCTGTTGGGACAAGTTCTAGTGGCTGTTGGGACAAGTTCTAGGGGCTGTTGGGACAAGTTCTAGTGTACTAGTGGCTTTTGGGACATGTACTAGTCCCTGTTGAGGCATGTACTAGTGGCTTTTGGGACATGTACTAGTCCCTGTTGAGGCATGTACTAGTGGCTTTTGGAACATGTACTAGTCCCTGTTGAGGCATGTACTAGTGGCTTTTGGAACATGTACTAGTCCCTGTTGAGGCATGTACTAGTGGCTTTTGAGGCCTGTACTAGTAGCTGTTGAGACATGTATTCAGATGTAGTTGGGTTATTTAGTAAAGATATTCATAAAGGTTAGTTGCGTATCCTTTACAGGACATTGCAGAACTAACCCCATCAGCCCCTGGCTGTTGTGTGGTTTTTCTAGGCAAATTTACATCCAGTAGTTTGCCATTGCTTTCTGGATGGTCGGCTTTCTTGATACCACTGTCGAAAAGCCAACGCAAGGCGCGTGGCCCCCAGCTGGGATCGAACTGGGCTTTACGAAGCGTTTGCATCGACTTAGCCACAGAGCCTACGTAATCTCATAAAACTATGACCTATATGTGGCATTGCTAACATTTTAAACCTCAGTCATTATTAACTACATCCAATTACCCAGACAGTTTCCCAGCATAAATGAGCTTTACTGTTGTCATTCTTCAGACCCTTCTGGAACTTTGAAGTGCCTTCCAATGCTGTTGTCAGAGAACGGGCTCCCCTACACCTGTCTCCACCGCACCCTGATATTGAAGCCTTCAGGTATGACCAGGTGATGAAGCTGCGGCAGAGCTATCAGGAGTTGTGTCTGCACCAGGAAGGTGAACCTCTTTTTAGGATAGTGATTTGAAATTAGTTAAGACCTGCGGACCACTTTTGTTTGTTTTTAACCTCTTAAACATCTAGCACAGACTACATTTAAATAGTCATACCAGAGAAGTTATTTTTTTTTAAATAGTCAAATCACCATAAGAATTCAGTTCTACCGTTGAGACTCTGTGTGTGTGTAGTAAATATCAGGGACCACTTAAATTTGTTCTGCTTACCCCTGGGTTCCACGACCACCAAATGAGAAACAGTTTTAGGGCATGTTCTTGCAGTGAGTTCTTTCTTTTGGATGGTTCATTGCCCATTTTCTGGGGATTTTGATTGTCTGTTGTTTATCTACAGAACGTAAATGTTGCAGTAAGAGTTTGGTAAAGCTGGATCAAAGAAAAGAAGAAAATATGACATTCTGAGAGTTGAACTTGAGAGAAAACTGGCTTATAGACAGCATCATGCCTCTGAAAAGTAAATGCTTTGAGCATATTAAACACTGCAGTGCTTAAGACTGAACATTTCCTGTGTGGGTTCCGGGGCCCTGTTGTGGGAAAACATGAATAGACCCATTGCCTACCCAAAAGCATGCTGTAAGAGTTGTCTAATTGGGAGCTTCCGTTGAAGTTGGATTGCATCTGCCAGAGAGGCAAGGAACCAGCAGTCTGCATACAAATGGGTCAGATCTGTAAAATGGATGCACACACAACACTCAGGTTCTGGAACACTACTGCAGTTTCAGAAGTGGATGAACAACCAGAACTTTCTGCTAGAGTTAACAGCTGGTGAATGCGAAGAAGAAGAAGACTGTACAATAGTGGATTCCTTGGAGAATAAGCAGGGGTCAGCTAGCACAAAGGACATTGAAGACACCCTAAGCAATAGAGATTTGGCAGAGAAATTACCATGGGACTGTCTCTGCAGCTGTGGTGGCAGGTTTTCTTCAGCGTGATCGTTCTATTAGGTTTTCTGTGGTCCTTGATTAGTTTCCACTGCAGCAGTTCTGAAGAGGCGTAAAATTTTGCAGCCATTTTGAAAGGCCTCTGTTATAAAAACAATCATATTCATTAAGTGCCTTGCCAACTGACATGGGAGATCATGCCTCCCCACAATCTGCATTCTTCAACAACATATATCAGTTTGTGTCCCTCCATGTCCTGAGAAAAGGATGTTAACAATCGTTTTGTGTTGTCTTCCTTTCTTTCTTTTTTCCATAGATCTTTTCAGTGGTTATGGGGAAAAACAAGAACAGACCGACTGCCTTCCCAACCAGCATGTCGTAGGAGTTGACTAAAAGGGGGCTTCTTTTGAAGTCGGAGCACATATGTCTGATAGGCAAGGAACCAGCAGTCTGCATACAAATATGCCAGATCTGTGTCACAGATGTCCACACAACACTCAGGTTCTGGAATGAGACTCTACTTCAGAGGTGGATGAACAACCAAACACTCAGCTGGAGTTGATCCACTGCTCCCCCATGTCACATCAAGGTTGGGATCTAACAACTTTCCTCTTATGTGTGTGCCCTAGAAGGGTGGTTGGCATGTGTGTTGTGGTTTACAGTTAGGCTGCAATTTCTACACCACATTTCATCTAACCCATGTTTACATCATTCTTGGTGGATCTATTTACTCCCACCTCTTTCCTCAAAAATAAAAAACATACGTGATTGAGATCTAACAAGATGATATAGCCATTTGATTTAAGAATGTCACCTGTGTATTTTAATTTGTATCTTTCCCAAAGGAATTGATGCCCCCATAGACTCTTTAAACCGCTGGTTGCTGGAACGCAAAGTGATTGACAGGGGTCAAGATCCAGTTCTGCCATCAGACTGTACTCCAGAGGTGTCCAAGTCCTTGGTGCATGAAATCATGAACGATATACCCATTAAACTGATCAGGCCAAAGTTGTCCGAAGATGCCAGGAAGCTGCTGTTTAAATATGCAGAAGGAGCCAAGAGATTGGTTGAGACAAAGTGAGTCCTCTTTTACTTTCTCTGACTTCCTGTGTGGGTTCTGGGACTGCATTGTGGGCAAGGAATAGGCCCGCTGCCTCCCCAACAAACATGTCGTAGAAGTTGACTAACTGGGACATCCTTCAAAGTCAGAGTGCATCTGCCTGAGAGGCAAGGCCCCAACAGTGCTTACGAATCATAAACCAGATCTGTAAAATGGATGTGCATGCAACACAGAGATGGGCGAACAACGAGAACTTTCCGCCACAATTAACATCCAGTGAAGATGAAGGCTTTAACTGACTCTAAACACAAACTTGTGCTATCTCCACAGTAGGCGAACAACGAGAACTTTCCGCCACAATTAACATCCAGTGAAGATGAAGGCTTTAACTGACTCTAAACTTGTGCTATCTCCACAGTAGGCGAACAACGAGAACTTTCGGCCACAATTAACATCCAGGGAAGATGAAGGCTTTAACTGACTCTAAACGCAGACTTGTGCTATCTCCTCAGTGGATATAGTCTGCAGTGTCTTCACTGTTACCTGTGGGAATCTCTTCCATGATGCAGCTATCTGTGTTTGTGTGTGTAAATAGGCCTACTTAACTTATATATATATATGTTTGTTTGTTTGTTACTGAATCCAGAAAAGTTTCCCTGGAGAGTGTCAAGATTGTGAAACAGAATGTTGAAGAAACTTTCCGCTGGTTGCGGTCTCGGCATAATGTCTCATTTGAGGATTACCTGGTTAGTTGTGAGGTGTCAGTCATATTTGTATTTTGTAGTTGTTAGTTGAATCTGTATTGTCTTGTTTATGCGGGATATATGTTAAGGTGTAAATAATGCCTGTATAGTTTGTCTCTTTCATCTGGAATGTTATGATGATGATATTGTCTGTAGTTTGTCTTGTTTATCTGGAATATGTGTGATGATGATGATAGTGTCTGTAGTTTGTCTTGTTCATCTGGAATACGTGTGATGATGATGATGATAGTGTCTGTATAGTTTGTCTTCTTTATCTTGGATATGTGTGATGTAACTGTATAATTTGTCTTTAAAAAAAATCTGGTATATGTGTGAAGATGGTAATAATGTCTGTATAGTTTGTCTTGTTTATCTAGGCTGTGTGTGATGATTAGTAACAGTGTCTGTATAGTTTGTCTTGTTTATCTAGGCTGTGTGTGAAGATGGTAATAGTGTCTGTATAGTTTGTCTTGTTTATCTAGGCTGTGTGTGATGATTAGTAACAGTGTCTGTATAGTTTGTCTTGTTTATCTAGGCTGTGTGTGAAGATGGTAATAATGTCTGTATAGTTTATCTTGTTTATCTAGGCTGTGTGTGATGATTAGTAACAGTGTCTGTATAGTTTGTCTTGTTTATCTAGGCTGTGTGTGAAGATGGTAATAGTGTCTGTATAGTTTGTCTTGTTTATCTAGGCTGTGTGTGATGATTAGTAACAGTGTCTGTATAGTTTGTCTTGTTTATCTAGGCTGTGTGTTAAAATGGTAATAATCTCTGTATAGTCTGTCTTGTTCATCTGGGAAAGCATAATGTTGTCATGTTATCCCTTATCTGCAGTATTTCAGTAGCATTTGTTTAGTTTGTCTTGTTTATTCTGGGTTATGTTCCATCTTGTAAAATGTTTGCATAATCCTGACACTTAATACCTTTGGATACCTTGTGCTTCTTACACGGATATTCCACACAGTTTCTTAACTCTTTGAGTCCCAAGGAACGTGTCATACGTTCATAGATTCCTACCTAGGAGCCCAGTGAACGCAAGATTTTACGTCTTTCTTGACTACCCCTTGGGCCTGTGATGCTAAACCCTCTGGGACTCAGAGTTAACACCTGTTGATTTGACAATGGCCTCAATGGCCAGAGTGTTTGTTTCCAAGACATTTCTACCAGCCAGTCTTTGAGATCAACCCCCCCTTCCCCCCCCCCCCCCCCCCCCATGGTATTCTAAGAATATATTTATATCGTTTCAGCCTGGAGGCTCCTATTTTCTGTCTTTGTGGCTGACATATTTCTGGGAGTTTCTGCTACTCCTTTGGGTAAGAGCTACTTAATCAGATGGACATGATGGAAGCTTTCATGGACCAGATGCATAATGCAGCAGAACTGACAGAACATTCATACCTCTTGAGCTGATTCAGTTGGGAGTGAGAGAGGGATTTTGGCAATAATGAAAGCTAAAGGAAGAAAAGATAAGATAGCTCAACTTTCAGTCAGGTTACCAGTAGTAGCATCAACATGGGAACTCTTCATTGAGTACTGGAGAAGATGGAGCCCTTGTGAGAGTGCCCTGAGTGCAATGTTCTTTCTTGACTCTGTTAATTTATAAATCTTTGTGAATAATGACAGGAGCGGCTGACACAGCTGAAGCGGAGGTGTGAGCCCAGTATTTATGAAGCTGCCGAGGCATCTGTAGAGAGTGTGGTGAGGAGGATCTACTGTCTGTCAGTGGAGAGTTGCCAGAAGATTGGGCACAAGACCTCTGAGGTTCTCAGAGCACACAACATTCAAGGTATTTGACTGCAGTCTGCCATGTCTTTTCCCCCACCTGCAACTGTGTGGCCCATTTGCATCATCTGTATTGTATGTTTTCAGTGCTCCATTTTAGTCTGTGTGAAGTTATTATATTTACTCTTGTTTCCATAGTACTGTTTTGGTCTTTATAAAGTTATTATATGTAGTGTTTGTTCTTGTACTGTTTTGGTCTTTATAAAGTTATTATATGTAGTGTTTGTTCTTGTAGTGTTTTGGTTTATAGTTGTGTGTAGTGTTTGTTCTTGTAGTGTTTTGGTTTATAGTTGTGTGTAGTGTTTGTTCTTGTAGTGTTTTGGTTTATAGTTGTGTGTAGTGTTTGTTTTTGTAGTGTTTTGATTTATAGTTGTGTAGTGTTTGTTCTTGTACTGTTTTGGTCTTTATAAAGTTATTATATGTAGTGTTTGTTCTTGTAGTGTTTTGGTTTATAGTTATGTGTAGTGTTTGTTCTTGTAGTGTTTTGGTTTATATAGTTTTTGTGTAGTGTTTGTTCTTGTAGTATTTTGGTTTATATATACTTTGTGTGTAGTGTTTGTTCTTGTAGTGTTTTGGTTTATATAAATTTAATGTGTAATGTTTGTTCTTGTAGTGTTTTGGTTTATATAACTTTAGTGTTTGGTGTTTGTTCTTGTAGTGTTTTGGTTTATAGTTATGTGTAGTGTTTGTTCTTGTAGTGTTTCGGTTTATATATATGTGTAGTGTTTGTTCTTGTAGTGTTTTGGTTTATATAGTTATGTGTAGTGTTTGTTCTTGTAGTGTTTTGGTTTATATAAATTTAATGTGTAGTGTTTGTTCTTGTAGTGTTTTGGTTTATATAAATTTAATGTGTAGTGTTTGTTTTTGTAGTGTTTTGGTTTATATAAATTTAATGTGTAGTGTTTGTTCTTGTAGTACGTCTTGATCTTTATAAAGTTATGTTTAGTGTTTGTTCTTGTAGTACAGTTTTGGTCTATGTATACATTATTTAGTAGTCATTGTTTTCCTAGTACCATTTTATTCTAATGTTATTATATATAGTCTCTTTATGTAGTTATTACATTGTCTTTGTTCTGGTATGATTATGAAGTCTTTTTAGCCACATTTTTGTCTTGTGTTATAATATTGTTTTACTGGGAAGCTGAATAGTTCTGCTCCTTGTACGGGTTGATTTCCTTCACATTTACACCAGATATGTCCATATAAATCAACAAATCTCTTTATTCATTAAATGAGTTGGCATCTCCTTGATGTGGGTTGGCTCCTATAGATTTCTTTGTTTCTCAGGTTGTAGACTGGTAGCTGGTGTTTTCACTGCATGTGTCTTGCTTGCCTACCTGTCTTCCCCCTCGCAGCATGGTTTGTTAGTGCTGTGTCATTTCATGTGGCTGGAATATGTCAGCATGGTTTGTTAGTGCTGTGACATTTCATGTGGCTGGAATATGTCAGCATGGTTTGTTAGTGCTGTCATTTCATGTGGCTGGAATATGTCAGCATGGTTTGTTAGTGCTGTGTCATTTCATGTGGCTGGAATATGTCAGCATGGTTTGTTAGTGCTGTGATATTTCATGTGGCTGGAATATGTCAGCATGGTTTGTTAGTGCTGTCATTTCATGTGGCTGGAATATGTCAGCATGGTTTGTTAGTGCTGTGTCATTTCATGTGGCTGCAATATGTCAGCATGGTTTGTTAGTGCTGTGACATTTCATGTGGCTGGAATATGTCAGCATGGTTTGTTAGTGCTGTCATTTCATGTGGCTGGAATATGTCAGCATGGTTTGTTAGTGCTGTGACATTTCATGTGGCTGGAATATGTCAGCATGGTTTGTTAGTGCTGTCATTTCATGTGGCTGGAATATGTCAGCATGGTTTGTTAGTGCTGTGACATTTCATGTGGCTGGAATATGTCATAGTTTAAATTTCTTTTCCAGATTTGTCTGCAGGTTCACATCTCCATAGCATTAGTTAAACTTTGTAATTACTTTTTCATTGTCCACCTTTTGGTGTTATACAATAATGTTGCATAGACATATCATCTGTCTAGATATTTGTACATGTTCAAATATGTTTAGTCATTGACATGTTGATTCCTGTGGTCCCCATGTGGGTTCTACAGACAGACGCGTTGTGGGGACAACAAGAATAGACCCACTGCCTCCCCAAAACAGCATCTCATACAATTTGACTAACTGTGGACCCTTTTCAAAAGGGATAGGGGGAGGGGGGGGGGGGGTCTGCCCGAGAGGCAAGGAGCCAGTAGTCTTGCATACACTTGAGGCAGATCATTAAAGAACATATGTATGCGGGACTCAAGTTCTAGAACAAGATTATAGTCCAGTAGTGGACGAACAACCAGAACTTTCTGCTGAAGTTTACAATCGTTGACTGCGAAGAAGAATAAGAATGTGTTTCTCATCTCTCTAGATATTTTTACATCATGTTGATTTCTTTGTCACTTGTGTCATAGTCGGGTAATATATAGTGAAGTTAGTTTCTTGTTCTTATCCGGACTTTGATTTTTATATGGTCAAAATATATGCCACTCTTTGGAAATACAAGTTTGTTTCTTCACCTGTCTTCATTTAATTCAGCAAATTAATTTTCGTTCCTAGTCTTTTCAGAACCTCTGTGACTGTTTTTGTTGTCATGAAATATGAGACATTCTTCTGTATATGCATCTCTCCACAGACAAAACAGTTTTCACATTGCTGGTTCATTGTCCATACCTGTCTGCACAGACAAAACAGTGTTCACATTGCTGGTTCATTGTCCATACCTGTCTGCACAGACAAAACAGTGTTCACATTGCTGGTTCATTGTCCATACCTGTCTGCACAGACAAAACAGTTTTCACATTGCTGGTTCATTGTCCATACCTGTCTGCACAGACAAAACAGTGTTCACATTGCTGGTTCATTGTCCATACCTGTCTGCACTACACAGCAGGGTTGAGTATTGGTAACATTTGACACACCTGCTATTTGTTGTCTCTCTCTAGATGTCAGTGACTCTCATACTAAACATGTCTTATCCTTTCACTTTCATACCAGAAAATTTTGACTGTGTTCAAATGAACCCTGAAAGTTACAGAGCTCCGCTGTCAGTGATATTATTCCAGTGTCTGATTGTGTTTTATCTTTCTCTAATGTAGAAGGAAGTCCAGTGCCTGAGCCGTTAGAGCCTCGCCTGACCCAATGTTCCCCTGTCCAGCTCAGTATTCCATCACCCCGTATGCCTTATGTGGAGAGAGTCATTGAAGAGGAGGTGGTCTCCCTTCAGTACGGGGGAGAAACTCTCACCATTAATCAAGAACATTTCTGGAAATTGGTAAGCTCTATCACATCTGCTGTCTGTCTGTTTGATTGTGTTCACTGTACATTGGCAGGGAAGATGTCTTGACAGGGATTTACCTGAGACTTGAATGAAGAAGCTGCACTTTTCCCCATCTGTAACATTACTGCTGGAAAGACTGTCTACATACACCATTACTACCATGCAGACTATTTCTGCATCTAACAGTACTAGTGTACAGAAATACTATTTGTTGCATATAATGGTAGTAGAGTAATGACTATTTCCGTATCTTATAGGACTAAAGACTATATCTGCATATAAAAGTACTACAGACTTTCTGCATGTAGTGGTACTAGACTAAAGACTTTTTCTGCATATAAAGTGCTACAGACTTTCTTCATATAAGCGTACTAGAGTAATCTGTTTCTGTAACTGAAGCGTACTAGAGTAATCTGTTTCTGTAACTGAAGCGTACTAGAGTAATCTGTTTCTGTAACTGAAGGGTACTAGAGTAATCTGTTTCTGTAACTGAAGCGTACTAGAGTAATCTGTTTCTGTAACTGAAGCGTACTAGAGTAATCTGTTTCTGTAACTGAAGGGTACTAGAGTAATCTGTTTCTGTATCTGAAGCGTACTAGAGTAATCTGTTTCTGTAACTGAAGCGTACTAGAGTAATCTGTTTCTGTAACTGAAGGGTACTAGAGTAATCTGTTTCTGTAACTGAAGCGTACTAGAGTAATCTGTTTCTGTAACTGAAGGGTACTAGAGTAATCTGTTTCTGTAACTGAAGCGTACTAGAGTAATCTGTTTCTGTAACTGAAGGGTACTAGAGTAATCTGTTTCTGTAACTGAAGGGTACTAGAGTAATCTGTTTCTGTAACTGAAGGGTACTAGAGTAATCTGTTTCTGTAACTGAAGGGTACTAGAGTAAGGACCATACATCTAACCAAACTTTGAACTGCCCCTTATGACAATTAACACAATTACTGTTCTGGCTTCCCATATAGGTCATGGTAAGACCTGAGCATTGGCATGTATGCCATTTGCTGTTGTGTACATTAGGTGTGTCTGTGTTTTTACTGCATGGCATTACAAGGCTATAACAACAGTGAGCAGATGAATGCTAAGAGCTTAGTTAATTCTGGTCAGGCCAGTTTGTTCTCTACACTATTTTAATGGTAGGGAAACTTGGTTGCTTTATTCCTTCCTTTTGACATGCCATGCCTGTGATTACCTGGTATTGAATGGCAAGACAAGATCGCAAACAGTGAGCTAGTGAATGAATCAGAAATTGACATCACTGCACTCGAGACATTCCCACACATGCTGTGTCCCATTGACATCACTGCACTCGAGACATTCCCATACATGCTCTGTCTCCTTTTCCCATAATCAACATAGAGATGACTTGCTAATAGTACCAGTTACAACCTCATTAAAAGTCTGCCTGTTTCCCCCTCGGTGTTGAATATCTAGCTTTGGACTGGATGCCATGGACTGTATTACATGGGGAAAAAAAGGGGGGGGGGGGGAACAACCAGGAAAGGAAGAGAGATAAATGAGAAAACTATTGTAGGTAAGTTAAAATCTGAGCTTCTGAGAAGCAACATACCTAATACATGCACATGGAGCACAAGTCCTGAAATGCCATGTTCTGACTGGTTGTGATTCCGATGCCTTCTCAAAGCACAGTATATCATTGCTATTGTCTGCAGAGGTGGACAGTTGTCAACATGAACACATTCTTGTAGCATCGTCATGTGCCATGCAGGGCAGCACAGATGCCTCCAGTCATCTTGTCTGTATGTTGGATCAGTTTGGTTGCTGAATGTTGTTTCTATCAACAGAAGCCAGCATTTTCTTTCTGTCATCCTTTGTTTTCTCTGTGTCACTTCTTCAACATTCTGAGTCTGTGCAGTTCATTGCTCTTTATATCACCCATTCCCATTCATCTCTGTGATTGGTCTTCTCTTGGCAGTTGATGACTCCACATTCTGTGTTCCAAATCTCAGATGTCATGTTTCAAATCTCAGATGTCATGTTTCCAAATCTCAGATGTCATGTTTCAAATCTCAGATGTCATGTTCCAAATCTCAGATGTCATGTTCCAAATCTCAGATGTCATGTTCCAAATCTCAGATGTCATGTTTCAAATCTCAGAGGTCATGTTTCAAATCTCAGATGTCATGTTCCAAATCACAGATGTCATGTTCCAAATCTCAGATGTCATGTTTCAAATCTCAGATGTCATGTTCCAAATCTCAGATGTCATGTTTCCAAATCTCAGATGTCATGTTTCAAATCTCAGATGTCATGGTCCAAATCTCAGATGTCATGTTCCAAATCTCAGATGTCATGTTCCAAATCTCAGATGCCATGTTCTAGGTTTATTATCCATTTTAATCCATCCATAGTTAAGGCTTGGCAATGACTTATGGCAAAATGAAATTTAATTTGGAGGGGGAGGATGGGTGGGTGTCGACTCCATGCTTCAGCCCCCAACTTGAAGGTCCAGGGTTCCTCTCTGATCATTTCTCTACCCATTGACCTGTTGGGCTTGTGACTACATTTCCAGTCTTCTCTCATAATGTGATTGATCTCCCTGTGGGTTCTGGGGAAATGCAAGACAAGAATAGAGCCACTGCCTTCCCAACAAGCATGTGCTAGCAGTGGAATGGTTGGGGGCTTACTTTGAAATTAAAAATGCATCTGAGAGGCAAGGAACCAACAGTCTGCATAAAATAAGCAAGATTTGTAAAATGGATGTGCACGTGCGCTCAAGTTCTGGAACCAGACCCAAGTCCAGAAATGGATGAAGAACCAGAACTTTTCCAGAGTTTAGTTAGTGAGCGTGAAAAATATATCTGTGATATCTCACTTGGGCTGTTTGTCTCCTTGCATTTCCTTACTCTTCTTCCATCATGTTTGCTAATTGTTACTGTCAAGTTAATTTCTGTTTAGAACATACTCACAAATACGGACTGTTTACATCTCATTTCTCCATCAGTTGATGGTTTTAATTGCTGCCTCATTTATTGTCCCCTTGTGCCAGTGTCTGGTACACAGCAGTTAGGGTCATCTTGTAGTCCCATAACATTGTAGTTGACAAATCAGTTGCCTGCACCTGTGTCAGTTAGCTGCCTTGAACTTGATGTCCAGTCAGCCCAGTTCTCTATCCAGGTGTGTCTTGAAGAGACCAGTATGTAGATCTGATTACATGTCCATATCATTAGATTGTCCATCTCTGGTTGCCAGCTGTTCAGTGATGATGTGACAAGCTTCATCATTGTCTCATATCATCTCTAAATGAGATACCAAGGATCTTTCAAAATGATCTCATTTGCACTTATGTTTTCCTTGTGAGTTTGGATGTTAAGGTCCACATTTCCCAGCTGCATGTGAATTTAGTGATAGAGACTGGTCTAAGCTGTCATAGAAAACAGTTTTACATATAGTCGAATATTTAGTTGAGACTCCTGGAACATATCAGTGCCAGCCGTGTTTGTCATTTCACCTGCTGGCCTGGTAGTCATGCATTCATATCCTCACACTTTTGGCTTCTTTCATTGACCTGGAATTGCAGGTCAACCAGGTCTAAAACATATACTACAAAATTATCTGGGTAGTAAAAGTGGGCAGCATAATACAGACCACATGACCCATAGAGCCTCATGACCCATGCATATACCCATCGTGCCTCATCTTGAAAGAAGAAGTACTTGACTTGTAAAATACCTTTGATTTGTTCATGGAAACCTCTCTCTCCTATCAGGAAGAAATATATGGACTGAACTGCCAAGATGATCCACGATTTGACCATTTCCTGGCCAGAGTTTGGTGTTTACTCAAAAGATATCAGGTGAGTTAGCTTATACTTGGCCAGTTTAGAGTGCTGCCTTATCTTATTTCTTTTGTTGTTCTCCCTTTATCGTAATGATCACAGGCTGATCACCAGCACTTGTCAAGCTATCCTACCCCCTGTAGCTGACTCCTTGTTCTGCCCACCTCTACATAGACAGTATGGAGATCATGGGGCCGCAGGAAGTGGCCAGAAAATCTGTTTGACACAACTCTCTGGCGGACGTATAATCAGGCTGCTACTCTTGCCATTGACATTTGACCTTTTCGCTGAGTGCAACTCTCCCCCATCTCTCCCCAACTCTCCCCATCTTTTTCATCCATTTCTAATTGTCTTTATTCTGCACTTTGTGGCCTTTTTGTCTTTTGAGATTCTAGTGAAGCACATTTTGTAGCGTCCCCCCACCCCCACCCTCAATGTTTACCAGTACCATCATTTTTTTCTCACCTCTTTATTGTGGAAGTTGCTTCTCTAAACTGGCGCATTCGCCCTCTGTAATGTCAGTTAATGGCTTCAAATCTGCACTCTTGAATCAGTATTTGTTACTGCATTAGTATTTGGGGGTAACATCGATACATCGGCAGTCCTTAACTAACCAGTCTGTTATATATGGCCATTAATTAAAGATTTGCTGACATCGAAATAACTAAAGCACACAGAGAAGTCTACCTTCTCTCATATGAGATTCACTGAAAATGGCACCTGCAATGTGAAAACTGTATATGAATGGGGAAAGACAAGGTAGGTGGTAAGAAACATGAAATACATACAAGTATACAATTGTATATGAGATTAAACCAAACATTAGTTATGAACAGTGGATTTGTAGAAGGAAAAGGTACACACCATGCCATATACATCCTCAGGGCTTTGAGAAAGAGCTGTAGAAGTAAAACAAACCGATCTTAACTTATGATTCATTGAATATGTAAGATATTGGAAAAGTTAAACATTGATGGAAAAGATTGACGAATTATGAAGAATATGTTTGGCAGCAAACAGCGTATATAAGAATCGATCATTTTGGAACATTTCAAAGCATAGAGAGGGAAGTAAGACAAGGCTGTGTACTAGAGGGAAGTAAGACAAGGCTGTGTACTAGAGGGAAGTAAGACAAGGCTGTGTACTAGAGGGAAGTCAGACAAGGCTGTGTACTAGAGGGAAGTAAGACAAGGCTGTGTACTAGAGGGAAGTAAGACAAGGCTGTGTACTAGAGGGAAGTAAGACAAGGCTGTGTACTAGAGGGAAGTAAGACAAGGCTGTGTACTAGAGGGAAGTCAGACAAGGCTGTGTACTAGAGGGAAGTCAGACAAGGCTGTGTACTAGAGGGAAGTCAGACAAGGCTGTGTACTAGAGGGAAGTCAGACAAGGCTGTGTACTAGAGGGAAGTCAGACAAGGCTGTGTACTAGAGGGAAGTCAGACAAGGCTGTGTACTAGAGGGAAGTCAGACAAGGCTGTGTACTAGAGGGAAGTCAGACAAGGCTGTGTACTAGAGGGAAGTCAGACAAGGCTGTGTACTAGAGGGAAGTCAGACAAGGCTGTGTACTAGAGGGAAGTCAGACAAGGCTGTGTACTAGAGGGAAGTCAGACCAGGCTGTGTACTATCACCTGATTTATCATTAAACAGTGAATATACAATGAGATCTATCCTGGATATGACAGGAGTTGTGGCTGGTGGTCATCACATAAACAATCTGTTTTACACTGGTGGTCATCACAGAAACAATCTGCTTTACACTGGTGGTCATCACATAAACAATCTGTTTTACGCTGGTGATCATCACATAATCTGTTTTACGCTGATGACACTGTCTTGACAGCGACAAGTCAGAAACAACTACAGAAAATAGATGCGGTGGTAAAAAGTGATAAAATGGGCCTAGTTTAAATAATAGAAAGACAGAAGTAATCGTGATTTCCAAGAAAAGAATAGTGCCTAAATGTATAACAACAGTCACAGATGTTATTTTAGGACAAGTATAGAAATTCAAGTATCTAGGCACATGGATAACATTCGATGGAAGATGTATCACAGAGATAAAGAATTGAAAAGGACAGGCCAAAATCTGAACATTTTGTGCAATAAATCCATGTCATTGGAGTTTAGGACAAGAATTCTCACATGCTATATAGGGCCAGTTTTAACCTACGGCTTTGAAGCCTGGATGATCAGCCGATCAATATCTTAAGGTCTCGGAAGACTCCTTAGATTTCCTTGGACAGATAAGAAGAGCAACGTGGACAAATAAGAAGAGCAACGTGGACAAATAAGAAGAGCAACATGGACAAATAAGAAGAGCAACATGGACAAATAAGAAGAGCAACATGGACAAATAAGAAGAGCAACGTGGACAGATAAGAAGAGCAACGTGGACAGATAACAACAACAACACAGATGTTTTGAAAAACTGTGAATGCTCAGAGACAACTTATCACAGACATCAGAAAGAGACAGTCATCATTTTTTGGTCATGGTTTGAGAAGAGGGTAAATGGAACGTGTTGTGACCACTGGAAAGATTTGTGGAGAGGGAGAAAGAAGAAGATGACATGAGAAGATTCTTGACAGTCTTCTGTCATGGCATGGAGGGGTGTCAGCACACGTACTGATATATGCAAATGCAGATCACAGATTGTGAAGATGCTAATCGCCCACATCAGTTGGCAAGGCACTTGATGACGATGATACAATTTGCAAATTTAAATGAAGAGGACAGGAGGAAGCAACAGAAAGATAAACCTGCCTGGCATGAGACGGTTGAAGACCTGTGTTCCAGTCTGGTGTAAGGGACACAACAACAGAAAGATAAACCTGCCTGGCATGAGACGGTTGAAGACCTGTGTTCCAGTCTGGTGTAAGAGACACAACAACAGAAAGATAAACCTGCCTGGCATGAGACGGTTGAAGACCTGTGTTCCAGTCTGGTGTAAGGGACACAACAACAGAAAGATAAACCTGCCTGGCATGAGACGGTTGAAGACCTGTGTTCCAGTCTGGTGTAAGGGACACAACAACAGAAAGATAAACCTGCCTGGCATGAGACGGTTGAAGACCTGTGTTCCAGTCTGGTGTAAGGGACACAACAACAGAAAGATAAACCTGCCTGGCATGAGACGGTTGAAGACCTGTGTTCCAGTCTTGGTTAAGGGACACAACAACAGAAAGATAAACCTGCCTGGCATGAGACGGTTGAAGACCTGTGTTCCAGTCTTGGTTAAGGGACACAACAACAGAAAGATAAACCTGCCTGGCAATCTGGTGTGAGGGACACAAAAACAAATATGATGTGGGATAGATAGCACAGGTATTGTAAAACTGGAACTGATTACCACACTTCCTGAAGCTGTAATTTAGCCGATAAATGAATGGGTCATCATCATCATGTGCAGATAAGCATAGGCTGTCACATGATCACCAGAATTGCAGATCAGGTCAGTGTTCTTGCCTCACCCCCATCCTGGTGGCTAAGCCATTCAGATATTTATATTTGCCTTTCCCTTTCTCTTTTTCCACCAGGCTTGCCAGCTGTTACCAAGTTCTGAGCCCATTTATTCTCATAACAAATAAAAAAAAAACACCAGCTTGTCTGCATCTGATTTTCCTCATCTGTTTCGGGGGAGGCTGACTTATCTATTTTTCTATCATCATGTGGTGCGTCCTTTGCAGAACCTTGCTCTCATTGTGGTCTGCCTGAAAGAAACTTGGTCTCTCACCAGCTCTCCCGCCTTACGTACTTTCAAATTTAAGGAGACAATTATATCCTATGCCTATCTTCATGTTGGCCAGCCCCTGCCTCTCCTGATACTATGCATTCTGCTAGTATTTGTTCCAGTCTGCCATGGCGCTTAATATGACCAACATTGTTCAGCTTTAGGATCCAGATGCTGTTTATTAGCCAGTCTTCCTTGATGAAATGTCCGTATTTCTCCTCTTCTTTGTCCCTGGTATTCTGGTCATCTCTCTATAGCATTTCAGCTCAACAGCCCCGATTCATTTTCCTCAAGACTGGGAGATAGTCCACGACTCACATTCGTATTTTCTATGATATTCTTTGCATCTTCTCAAAAACCACATCTCCACTGCAAGTATATATTTTTCAGCTTTGTCTGTTTTTTGTCCATTTCACACATGGATATAACAACACAGGAATACACAACGTCTGTGTATTGTTGCACAGTTGTGTGTGAATATGTTTCAGCATTGAATTGATGATTTCCGCAGGCTTATTTTGGCAGCCGACCAAACGAAGGCAAAGGCAACCAGGGTGCCCTAAGTCCTGCCTTGATGGAGACCCTACACCGAGTGTTTAATGTCAGCTTTGAGTGCTTTGCTTCTCCATTCAACTGTTTCTTCAAGCAGTTTTGCTCTGCCTTTCCTGACACAGACGGTTACTTTGGATCACGGGGGTGAGTGAACAATGTGAAATGTTGCATCACGTGGGTGAGTGAACAATGTGAAATGTTGCATCACGTGGGTGAGTGAACAATGTGAAATGTTGGATCACTCGGGTGAAGTGAACAATGTGAAAGGTTGGATCAGGTGGGTGAGTGAACAATGTGAAATATTGGATCACGTGGGTGAGTGAACAGTGAAAGGTTGGATCACGTGGGTGAGTGAACAATGTGAAATGTTGGATCATGTGGGTGAGTGAACAATATGAAAGGTTGGATCACGTGGGTGAGTGAACAATGTGAAATGTTGGATCACAAGGGTGAGTGAACAGTGTGAAAGGTTGGATCACGTGGGTGAGTGAACAATGTGAAATGTTGGATTATGTATGTGAGTGAACAATGTGATAGGTTGGATTACGTGGGTGAGTGAACAATGTGAAAGGTTGGATCACATGGGTGAGTGAACAATGTGAAATGTTAGATCACCTGGATGAGTGAACAATGTGAAATGTTTACTTTCTATTAGGGTTCTTTTCTACATACATTGGGCATGTGATGCTGTGCTCATATTTATAGTCCAACACTTGGTGGGTGATGTGCTCAGCAGCAGGCTGGCCACCTTTACTTCCTAGGACTATACCTGATACCCACTCAAGGCTGGGTCCACCTGGGAGACAAGATCATTTTTGACAAAAGTCCAGCTCCTATTATGCAGTACTCCTATATTTATAGGCCAATCAGCACTTGATGGGTGATGTGGTCAGTACTTGATGGGTGATGTGGTCAGTACTTGATGGGTGATGTGGTCAGTACTTGATGGGTGATGTGGTCAGTACTTGATGGGTGATGTGGTCAGTACTTGATGGGTGATGTGGTCAGTACTTGATGGGTGATGTGGTCAGTACTTGATGGGTGATGTGGTCAGTACTTGATGGGTGATGTGGTCAGCATGTGATGGGTGATGTGGTCAGCACTTGATGGGTGATGTGGTCAGCACATGATGGGTGATGTGGTCAGCATGTGATGGGTGATGTGGTCAACACTTGATTAGTGATGTGGTCAGCACTTGATGGGTGATGTGGTCAGTACTTGATGGGTGATGTGGTCAGCATGTGATGGGTGATGTGGTCAGCACTTGGTGGGTGATGTGGTCAACACTTGATGAGTGATGTGGTGTGGTCAGCACTTGATGAGTGATGTGGTGTGGTCAGCACGTGATGGGTGATGTGGTCAGCACTTGGTGGGTGATGTGGTCAACACTTGATGGGTGATGTGGTCAACACTTGATTAGTGATGTGGTCAGCACTTGATGGGTGATGTGGTCAGCACGTGATGGGTGATGTGGTCAGCACGTGATGGGTGATGTGGTCAACATGTGATGGGTGATGTGGTCAGCACGTGATGGGTGATGTGGTCAGCGCCACACTGGTTGCTTTTACTTCCTGGGACATTACCTGTCACCCATGTTAGGTTGGTTCCACCTGACAGTCAAGGTGAGGGGGGGGGGAATTAAACTCAATGCATATTTGGACCCAAGACTGTTGGGCCGACAGGTGGAAATCTTGCCACCGTGTGGCATAATAGTTAGTGCACAGGACTGGTTAAACAGAGGTCCAGGTTTCATCCCAACCAGAGTCAAGATTATCTGTCCCTGTCAAGATTATCTGTCCCCGTCAAGTCAAGATTATCTGTCCTTGTCAAGATTATCTGTCCCTGTCAAGTCAAGATTATCTGTCCCTGTCAAGTCAAGATTATTTGTCCCTGTCAAGTCAAGATTATCTGTCCCTGTCAAGTCAAGATTATCTGTCCCTGTCAAGTCAAGATTATCTGTCCTTGTCAAGTCAAGATTATCTGTCCCTGTCAAGATTATCTGTCCCTGTCAAGATTATCTGTCCCTGTCAAGTCAAGATTATCTGTCCCTGTCAAGTCAAGATTATCTGTCCCTGTCAAGTCAAGATTATCTGTCCCTGTCAAGTCAAGATTATCTGTCCCTGTCAAGTCAAGATTATCTGTCCCTGTCAAGTCAAGATTATCTGTCCCTGTCAAGTCAAGATTATCTGTCCCTGTCAAGTCAAGATTATCTGTCCCTGTCAAGTCAAGATTATCTGTCCCTGTCAAGATTGAAGTGAATTTAAATATCTGTGGTCAGTTTTTACGTCTGGATAGAGAAATCAGCATCTGGAGTGCACTGCGACAGCTAACACCTTTGCTGATACATATGACCTTTATGTACCAAGGTCAGTCCACTAACAGTTTGGGGCTACCTACCTCATCTACCAGTGTCCAACAGTCATCATCATCATTATCAGTTTTCACTTTTGTTTTTTTAAATATATGTATGTGTGTGTGTTATATGAGAGAGTGCGAGAGAGAGAGAGAGAGGGAGAGAGAGGGAGAGAGAGAGAGAGAGAGAGAGAGAGAGAGAGAGAGAGAGCAGTATATGATAGAAAAGCACTAAATCCTTGTTTAAAATCTAATTGTTGCAAGACTGTAGTGTCAGTTTGAAGATGGAGTGTGAATGCCCCTTGACATCTTCTTACGTTGTCCCAGGATGGAGACTACTGGTCTGGTACATCCAACTGATTGTTCTTTGTTGAGATATGTTTTACTGCCAACTGATTGTTCCTAGTTGAGACATGTTTTACTGCCAACTGATTGTTCTTAGTTGAGACATGTTTTACTGCCAACTGATTGTTCTTAGTTGAGACATGTTTTACTGCCAACTGATTGTTCTTAGTTGAGACATGTTTTACTGCCAACTGATTGTTCCTAGTTGAGACATGTTTTACTGCCAACTGATTGTTCTTAGTTGAGATATGTTTTACTGCCAACTGATTGTTCTTAGTTGAGACATGTTTTACTGTCAACTGATTGTTCTTAGTTGAGACATGTTTTACTGCCAACTGATTGTTGTTAGTTGAGACATGTTTTACTGCCAACTGATTGTTCTTAGTTGAGACATGTTTTACTGCCAACTGATTGTTCTTAGTTGAGACATTTTACTGCCAACTTACTGCCAACTGATTGTTCTTAGTTGAGACATGTTTTACTGCCAACTGATTGTTCTTAGTTGAGACATGTTTTACTGCCAACTGATTGTTCTTAGTTGAGACATGTTTTACTGCAAACTGATTGTTGTTAGTTGAGACATGTTTTACTGCCAACTGATTGTTCCTAGTTGAGACATGTTTTACTGCCAACTGATTGTTCTTAGTTGAGACATGTTTTACTGCCAACTGATTGTTCTTAGTTGAGACATGTTTTACTGCAAACTGATTGTTGTTAGTTGAGACAAGTTTTGCTGCCAACTGATTGTTCCTAGTTGAGACATGTTTTACTGCAAACTGATTGTTGTTAGTTGAGACAAGTTTTGCTGCCAACTGATTGTTCCTAGTTGAGACATGTTTTACTGCAAACTGATTGTTCTTAGTTGAGACATGTTTTACTGCAAACTGATTGTTGTTAGTTGAGACAAGTTTTGCTGCTATTTCTGCCAATTATTCCTCACTGAAGTATAGGCCCTGAGCCAACTCATGCCTCGTTGTTCTGTCTTATGTTATATGTTCACTACATGGCATTCTTCTCCTTCTCTGGTCCTATTCTACTTTTCAGTGCCAGGTTTTGAAGAGGCATCGGGTGTGATCCTGGGAATGTGCTACCTAGATTCCGGTATATAGTCTCGGATATTCCATCTAGTCCTACTTACTGTGATGATTGTTGTATTATAAGTATCTTTTCTTGTTTGTTTGTGTGAAACTCAAGTCTTGTCCCCCAATCTTGATTGCCAACAGACCATTTCTGAGGTTTTGTCCGACCAGTGGCTCCTTTGAAGCCAATCCCCCATTCTCAGAAGAGTTGATGGAAGCAACTGTAGACCACATGGAGAGCCTGCTTGGTGAGACAGCGGAACCTTTGTCATTTATCGTCTTCATTCCCGACTGGAGAGATCCACCAACTGAAGCCTTGATTCGTCTGGAGAGCAGCAGGTAAGTTCTTTTGTTCTTGTCCTTGTTTTGTGCTGTTTGTCATTAGCTGTGGCTGTTATTGTTGTCTCTTACTGTGCAGCTATTGCTTGTTTTAATACAGTGAGGCCAGTTGTTCCAGGCTGCAGAAGCACTGGTTGTGTAGAAGTGTCTAGTCTTGTCCACCAATTGTTGCTGGTTACAGAAGCACTGGTTGTGTAGAAGTGTCTAGTCTTGTCCACCAATTGTTGCTGGTTACAGAAGCACTGGTTGTGTAGAAGTGTCTAGTCTTGTCCACCAATTGTTGCTGGCTACAGAAGCACTGGTTTTGTAGAAGTTTCTAGTCTTGTCCACCAATTGTTGCTGGCTACAGAAGCACTGGTTGTGTAGAAGTGTCTAGTCTTGTCCACCAGTTGTTGCTGGCTACAGAAGCACTGGTTGTGTAGAAGTTTCTAGTCTTGTCCACCAATTGTTGCTGGCTACAGAAGCACTGGTTGTGTAGAAGTGTCTAGTCTTGTCCACCAATTGTTGCTGGCTACAGAAGCACTGGTTTTGTAGAAGTGTCTAGTCTTGTCCACCAATTGTTGCTGGCTACAGAAGACTGGTTGTGTAGAAGTTTCTAGTCTTGTCCACCAATTGTTGCTGGCTACAGAAGCACTGGTTGTGTAGAAGTTTCTAGTCTTGTCCACCAATTGTTGCTGGCTACAGAAGCACTGGTTGTGTAGAAGTTTCTAGTCTTGTCCACCAATTGTTGCTGGCTGCAGAAGCACTGGTTGTGTAGAAGTGTCTAGTCTTGTCCACCAATTGTTGCTGGCTACAGAAGCACTGGTTGTGTAGAAGTTTCTAGTCTTGTCCACCAATTGTTGCTGGCTACAGAAGCACTGGTTTTGTAGAAGTGTCTAGTCTTGTCCACCAATTGTTGCTGGCTACAGAAGCAGTGGTTGTGTAGAAGTGTCTAGTCTTGTCCACCAGTTGTTGCTGGCTACAGAAGCACTGGTTGTGTAGAAGTGTCTAGTCTTGTCCACCAGTTGTTGCTGGCTACAAAAGCACTGGTTTTGTAGAAGTGTCTAGTCTTGTCCACCAGTTGTTGCTGGTTACAGAAGCACTGGTTTTGTAGAACTGTCTAGTCTTGTCCACCAGTTGTTGCTGGCTACAGAAGCACTGGTTGTGTAGAAGTGTCTAGTCTTGTCCACCAATTACTTTACTAAGATGAAGCAGTTGAATGCTGGTCAGAGAATTTTTGGTTATGATCATGTCTTGTTTTGTCCACCCTTTTTGTGTCTCGGGGGTGGGGGGGGGGGGGGTACAGTGGGTAGATGCTTGCTAGCCCTAAGGTAATGATCTTGTCTTGTTTTGTCCACCCTTTTTGTGTCTCGGGGGGTGGAGGGTGGGGGGAGGGGGAGTACAGTGGGTAGATGCTTGCTAGCCCTAAGGTAATGATCTTGTTGATATTCCAGAAAACTTTGTTGAAAACATTTGTGCACAGGTCACAAATAAATTCGTTAAAAATGTATCAAAATATATTAACCAATGAACACGGACAGGGTGATACATTCAATTGAAAACATTTCCTGGGGTCTGAAAAGACAACATATGTATCCAGTGACTATGCCATGGCCTCTGAAGCTGAGGCGAATGGGAAGATTTGAACATCAACTTGGCTTTCAAAGAGCTATTTTGCTTAAAGGAAAAGCTGCCTGCATGTGATGTTAGTTAGTATATTTGTTTCTTGACCTCCACAACTTGTGTGGGGGCAGAAACAGCCAGTAGCATGTGTTTTGTACACAGACCACTTTAGACACATTGAACAAGTGACATTTATGGAGAACTGGACCCAACCAGACTTGTTGGTTTTGCAGCTTCTTGAGGCAAAAGAGCTGAAGCCATTCACCTGTTTATTGGAGCTGGTGAGACAAGCAAGGAGGGGTTACACTGTAACCTGTCATGCATGCCACATGAGTCAAGGCAGGGTGGGCATGAACCTGGCTGCATATACTGTAAACGACTTAAATCAGCCAGTCATTGACACATTAAGAAAACTTTCCTGGGTTGGTTGAGGGTTTGTACTGCATCAGCAGAAGAGCCAGTGAGCTCATCTGTTTTGGAGCGTTCTGGTTGTCTGCTAACTGTCATCCAAAATTCAATCCCTGTGTGTTATTTGGGGCCTCATTGGGTGAGAAACTGGAAGGAGACTTTTACTGCCCACCAACATGTATGTTGTAATAGGAGGCAACTAGTTGCAGATTTCCTGATATCAGATGTGTTGGGCCAAAAGGTACAGATAACACAGCCAGTCTTGGGAGTTTGAACACTGAAGAAGAATCTCCATTTGTAGCAAAACTGTTTAAGATCACTGGTCTGTCAATGATCCACTTTCATCACATGGTTATCACAGAATTGTCTAGGAAGAACAAGAGATGATAAAGGACATGAATGACCTCATCTCCTATGCCATAACCTAGTTTCTGTGAAGACATGCCACTTCACACAGATAGGCAAATATATGCTACTGAATTACTCTTACATCACTGTTAGACATGTTGAGCGGATCTATGTGGTTGTGAGATCTTTGTTTTTCATTCACAGGTTTAAAAGGAAGCAGTTTATGTGTCCCCCCTTTGAACATGAGTACAGGAATGGCTTTCAGCATTTGCCTAGTGCCAGGTGAGGCTTTCATTGTTTAACATTGTCTTTTTTAACTTCTATGTGCCAGGTCAGGCTTTCATTGTTTAACATTGTCATTGTTAACTTCTATGTGCCAGGTGAGGCTTTCATTGTTTAACATTGTCATTGTTAACTTCTATGTGCCAGGTGAGGCTTTCATTGTTTAACATTGTCATTGTTAACTTCTATGTGCCAGGTGAGGCTTTCATTGTTTAACATTGTCATTGTTAACTTCTATGTGCCAGGTGAGGCTTTCATTGTGTTTAAAATAGTCATTGTTAACATCCATTTACCAGGTTCCAAGTAATCTTTCATTGTGTTTAACATTGTTATAGGTAATATTAGGGCTGTACTGAATATTCGCTTCGGGGCCGAATAGTGGACCTAATAACTATTCGGTATTCGGCCGAATAGTTGCAGTTGGGCCAAATACGAATAGTGGTTACCTTACACCCGCTTCTGGACTGGTGGAAAATAAACATATCAAGATTTCCCACCTTGGTTCATACTGTCAAGTGTTATCTTTGTGCACCACCTACGAGCGTACCAAGTGAACGTCTGTTTAGTACAGCTGGACAGCAAAAAACAAGAGGTTTTGAAAGAGGCGGGAGCCCGAAGACAACTACTCACAGGCGTCAGAAGGAGACAGCCATGTTATAAGATTAGGGAAAATGGAACATGTGGTGACCACTGAAAAGATATGTGGAAGGAGGGATAGATGAAGACAACGAGAAAAGTTTCTTGACAGTCTTGTTGCATGGCATGGAGGTGTGTCAGCACACGAACTAATACATGCTGCACGAGATCGCAGATTGTGGCAAGGCATAATCGCCCATGCCAGTCGGCAAAGCACCTGATGATGATGAATCACTATTCGTATTCAGCCGAATAGTTGGTCCAGCTATTCGTATTCGGCCGAATAGTAAAAATCACTATTTGGTACAGCCCTAGTTAATATCCATTTACCAAGTGCCAGGAAAGGCCTTTATTGCATTTAACATTGTCATTGTTAACATTCATTTCCAAGTAAATGTTTTCATTGTGTTTGTGTTTAACATTCTCGTTGTTAACCTCCATTTCCCAAGTGCCAGTTAAGGCTTTCTTTGTCTGTAACGTTCGCTTTATAACTTCTGTGTTTGTTTTTGTTTCTTTAAAATCTTTTTTCCACAACTCTTTGATTGATGTCATCCTTATTCTACAACTCTATGATTGGTGTCATCCTTGCTCCACAACTCTATGATTGGTGTCATCCTTGTTCCACAACTCTATGATCGGTGTCATCCTTGTTCCACAACTCCATGATTGGTGTCATCCTTGTTCCACAACTCCATGATTGGTGTCATCCTTGTTCCACAACTCTATCATTGATGTCATCCTTGTTCCACAACTTATATGATTGATGTCATCCTTGTTCCACAACTCTATGATTGGTGTCATCCTTGTTCCACAACTCTGTGATTGATGCCATCCTTGTTCCTCAACTCTATAATTGATGTCATCCTTGTTCCTCAACTCTATGATTGATGTCATCCTTGTTATACAACTCTATAATTAATGTCATCCTTGTTCCACAACTCTATGATTGGTGTCATCCTTGTTCCACAACTCTATAATTGATGTCATCCTTGTTCCACAGCTCTATGATTGGTGTCATCTTTGTTCCACAACTCTATGATTGGTGTCATCCTTGTTCCACAACTTTTGTGATTGGTGTCATCCTTGTTCCACAACTTTATGATTGATGTCATCCTTGTTCCACAACTCTATGATTGATGTCATCCTTGTTCCACAACTTTTGTGATTGATGTCATCCTTGTTCCACAACTCTATGATTGATGTCATCCTTGTTCCACAACTTTTGTGATTGATGTCATCCTTGTTCCACAACTCTATGATCGATGTCATCCTTGTTCCACAACTTTTATGATTGGTGTCATCCTTGTTCCACAACTCTATGATTGATGTTATCCTTGTTCCACAACTCTATGATTGGTGTCATCCTTGTTCCACAACTCTATGATTAGTGTCATTCTTGTTCCACAACTCTATGATTGGTGTCATCCTTGTTCCACAAATCTATGATTGGTGTCATCCTTGTTCCACAACTTTATGATTGGTGTCATCCTTGTTCCACAACTTTATGATTGTTGTCATCCTTGTTCCACAACTCTAAAATTGGTGTCATCCTTGTTCCACAACTATATGATCGGTGTCATCCTTGTTCCACAACTATATGATCGGTGTCATCCTTGTTCCACAACTCTATGATTGGTGTCATCCTTGTTCCACAACTTTTGTGATTGGTGTCATCCTTGTTCCACAACTTTATGATTGATGTCATCCTTGTTCCACAACTCTATGATTGGTGTCATCCTTGTTCCACAGCTATATGATCGGTGTCATCCTTGTTCCACAACTCTATGATTGGTGTCATCCTTGTTCCACAACTATGTGATTGGTGTCATCCTTGTTCCACAACTATATGATTGGTGTCATCCTTGTTCCACAACTCTATGATTGGTGTCATCCTTGTTCCACAACTCTATGATTGATGTCATCCTTGTTCCACAACTCTATGATTGATGTCATCCTTGTTCCACATCTTTTGTGATTGATGTCATCCTTGTTCCACAACTCTATAATTGATGTCATCCTTGTTCCACAACTCTATGATTGGTGTCATTCTTGTTCCACAACTCTATGATTGATGTCATCCTTGTTCCACAACTTTTGTGATTGGTGTCATCCTTGTTCCACAACTTTATGATTGATGTCATCCTTGTTCCACAACTCTATAATTGATGTCATCCTTGTTCCACAACTCTGTGATTGGTGTCATCATTGTTCCACAACTCTATGATTGGTGTCATCCTTGTTCCACAACTCTATGATTGGTGTCATCCTTGTTCCACAACTCTATAATTGGTGTCATCCTTGTTCCACAACTCTATGATTGTTGTCATCCTTGTTCCACAACTCATTATTGGTCTTATCCACAGAAAGGAAATGAACTGCAAGGCTGTTTTTGGAACTCTAGTCGTGTTTCTCCAGAATGAGGCTGGATATGCAAAGTGGACACCGACTGCTGAGAAAATCAAAGAGCTTGTCTTGGCTTCGAAGACATGAAATGGTTGAGTAGCTGAGGGAGATTGTCCAGTGCCTGTGTGTAGATACCCAGGTTAGTCATCCTTCTTTTGACTAAAGACCCATATTATCTTGTCGCTTGAATGTATTCATTCATTGTGTCTCTAGTAGTACCTGTTCATAGTTGAATGAATGAATGAGCTAGTGTCTCAAATAGCAGTTCATTGTGTAGTGTCTCAGGTGCCTATTCATTTTGATATTACGAATAGCCATTCATAGTTTGATATTACAAGTACCCATTTATAATTTAATATTGTGAGAACCCATTCATAATTTAATATTGTGAGAACCCATTCATAATTTAATATTGCGAGTACCCAATCATAGCTGGATGTTACGAGTACTTCTGATTGATAGTTTGCTATTACGAGTACTCCAATTTATAGTTTGATATTGCGAGTACCCATTCATAATTTAATATTGCAATATTGCAAGTACCCATTCATAATTTTAGATTACCATTACCCATTCATAATTTGATATTACAAGTACCCATTCATAGCTTGAAATTACGAGTACCTCTGGTTGATAGTTTGATATTACGAATACCCCCATTTATAGTTTGATATTGCGAGTACCCACCATTTATAATTTGATATTTCAAGTACCCCTTCATACTTTAATAGTATGGGTGCCCCTTTATACTTTAATAGTATGAGTGCCCATTCATAGTCTAACCTATATTACGAGTACCCATTCATAGTTTGATATTATGAATAGCCATTCGTAGTTTGAAATTGCGAGTACCCATTCTAAGTTTAAACGATATTACATGTACTTATTTATAGTTTCACTGATATTGCAAATACCCACTCATAGTTTAACTGATATTACAAGTAACCACTCATAGTTCAACTGATATTACAAGTAACCATTCATAGTTTAACTGATATTACAAGTAACGATTCATAGTTTAACTGATATTACAAGTTCTTAGTATAACCTTGTCGCCTCAGGAACACTTTAAAGAAAAAAAACTATAACCCTATAACAAATCTGCAAACATGAAACATTTTTGTTTGCACACAGGCGATTAATAGATTTAAAAAAGATCTCCATTATTTGTTTTGTGTGTGGAAATATATAACAGATATATAAATGGAGTAATCATTGAACATGAACAGAGTCAAGCATTCAATGAGAAACATTCAACGGAGGCCTGTCGGGAAACTAAAATATTCATATCCGGACCTCCTAAACATTTGCACATGTGGGAAACTTGGCCAGTGTCATTAACTGCCCTTTTGTAAACCTCTCACTATAAAAAAGTTGGAAAAGTGACATTTACGGGGAATTGGACCTTACTGGAAGTGTCCGTCAGTTTTGTACCTTCTCTGGGTGGCAGGGTTAATGCATGATACCTTCTCTGGGTGGCAGGGTTAATGCATGATACCTTGTCTGGGTGGCAGGGTTAATGCATGATACCTTGTCTGGGTGGCAGGGTTAATGCATGATACCTTGTCTGGGTGACAGGGTTAATGCATGATACCTTCTCTGGGTGACAGGGTTAATGCATGATACCTTGTCTGGGTGACAGGGTTAATGCATGATACCTTCTCTGGGTGACAGGGTTAATGCATGATACCTTGTCTGGGTGACAGGGTTAATGCATGATACCTTGTCTGGGTGACAGGGTTAATGCATGATACCTTGTCTGGGTGACAGGGTTAATGCATGATACCTTGTCTGGGTGACAGGGTTAATGCATGATACCTTGTCTGGGTGACCTTGACTACAGCTTGTCTATGGGTGACAGGGTTAATGCATGATACCTTGTCTGGGTGGCAGGGTTAATGCATGATACCTTGTCTGGGTGGCAGGGTTAATGCATGATACCTTGTCTGGGTGGCAGGGTTAATGCATGATACCTTGTCTGGGTGACAGGGTTAATGCATGATACCTTGTCTGGGTGGCAGGGTTAATGCATGATACCTTGTCTGGGTGACAGGGTTAATGCATGATACCTTGTCTGGGTGGCAGGGTCAATGCATGATACCTTGTCTGGGTGGCAGGGTTAATGCATGATACCTTGTCTGGGTGGCAGGGTTAATGCATGACTGATCTCATTGCTGGTTTATCTGGGGTACTGACAGGCTGATGAGTGGCTGGTTGAACACTGTAGAATGCTGGCCCCTCATGCAGGAGACCCAAGTTTCAATTCATGGTCAGGTTGTGAAAATTTTCTGCCATGGTCAAAAATGAAGTGCCAACTGAAGTCCATGACTACAACATGAGCTATGGGACCCTAAATGGTCAGGTTTAAACACCCCCATGACTACAGCATGAGCTATGGGGCCCTAAATGGTCAGGCTTCAAGACCCCCATGACTACAGCATGAGCTATGGGGCCCTAAATAGTCAGGCTTCAAGACCCCCATGACTACAGCATGAGCTACAGGGCCCTAAATTGTCAGGCTTCAAGACCTTAATGACTACAGCATGAACTATGGGGCCCTAAATGGTCAGGCTTCAAGAGCTCCATGACTACAACATGAGCTATGGGGCCCTAAATGGTCAGGTTTAAACACCTCCGTGACTACAGCATGAGCTATGGGGCCCTAAATGAGGTTTATGGGGCCATGAACATGGTCAGGGGGCCCTAATGGTCAGGCTTCAAGACCTCCATGACTACAGCATGAGATATGGGGCCCTAAATGGTAAGGTTTAAACACCTCCATGACTACAGCATGAACTATGGGGCGCTAAATGGTCAGGTTTCAAGACCTCCATGACTACAGCATGAGCTATGGGGCCCTAAATGGTCAGGCTTCAAGACCTCCATGACTACAGCGTGAGCTATGGGGCCCTAAATGGTCAGGCTTCAAGACCTCCATGACTACAGCATGAGCTATGGGGCCCTAAATGGTCAGGCTTCAAGACCTCCATGACTACAGCTTGAGCTATGGTGCCCTAAATGGTCAGGCTTAAACACCCTCGGAACTCATGACAAAGGCTTGTAGTGGTGAGCTGCTTTTGGTCAATTTACTGATCTTCGTAGCTATCTAGAGGGGATAAAAAAGGATTTCAGATTTAGAAGTGCTTGGTATGAGAAAGGAGCTGAACATCAGAAATAAGACATAATGCAGGCAGACAAAGGCTTCACCTTGAAAAGATCAGCAGCAGGATAGATTTCTGAATCTTGTCTGTCTCTCACATTCTGTCTGTTTTATTGCAGATTTGTCCTGAATGTTGTCTTATCAAGCCACAGACATGTGGGGATCTTCTTCTTCTGCGGTGTGCCTATTTACAGCATAGCTGCGATATTTGCCGATACCAGTGGATGTGGTCACCAGAATCTGGGACAAGCTAGTCATCATTTCATGTGTGGATGTCCCTGGGCATACAGCCTACAGTCAGCAACTTGTTCCATGCCAAACAGTTTAGTTCCTGTCCTAGACAGCATTCATTGACACTACCATATTTGCAGCTTTTTGTAAACCTCTGTTGCTAAATGTGCTAATCTCACCCAGCCTCTGTCACACAGTTGCTGTTGTGTTAATGTAACCCAGCCTCTGTCACACAGTTGCTGTTGTGTTAATGTAACCCAGCCTCTGTCACACAGTTGCTGTTGTGTTAATGTAACCCAGCCTCTGTCACACAGTTGCTGTTGTGTTAATGTAACCTGGCCTCAATCAGTTTTTTTTTTAAAATGAATCCTACTGATGTGGGCTCCAAGGCCTCATTGCAGAGTAGCAGGGGGGAGAATAGAACCACTGTTCTTAAACAAGCATGTTGTCAAGGCGAGTTGATTTTAAACTAATTTCACTGTTCTTGGGAAACAAAATAGTGAAGGGGTTTCCTGAAATTGGATGTGTTTGGTGGAAAGGTATAGATATCACAGCCTAACTGTCAACTATAATTCAATGTGCCAGTCACCCTTTAAAGACCAAACAAAGGTAATTTCAGACATGTACCTTCTGCAGGGATCAAGTCAGATTGCTGGGTGATATACGTGGATGTTGTTGAACTCTCCAAGCCCGGGAATTGACAAACAATATTTAGCAGCTGTTACAACAGGTCACAATATCCGACAACGTCATCAGCTCCTGCATTTCTAAACTGTCTAGCTACTTACATTTGGCCACATACAGGGTTAATCAGATATCTGGTTACTAAAGTGAATTTTTATTTGTAAAACTCTGCTCAAACTTGTATGTTTAACTCTGAAGTAGCAGTTGCCTGTGACAGGGAGAGGTTGAAGGTACTTGATTGATTTTTGGTGTTACGCTGTGTACTTTTGAATCTCCATATCGTTGAATGTCTACATACACTGATGATTGACTGCAGTGGCTTGGTCTAGTTATGTGAAACCACCTGAAATGGTGCAGTTTGGATGAAATCAGAAATCACTTGAGATGGTATAATTTGGTCCAAATATTTGGGAACACGTTCTGAGTGGTACAGTTGAGAACAGTTTGAGACATTGCTGATATTGTTTATAAAGTAGTGAAAGGCCTCTTGAGTAATTCTGTCTCTGGCAGAATGATGTCAGACAACCCACTTGGTATAAAAATATCCACCAATCAAATTTCAAGATTAGGAAATATTTTTTTAATAAAGGCGTTATTTGTAAAATTGTATTTTTGATGGTATTTTTTTTTTTTTTTTTTTACTTGGAAATATTTCTGCGTTCAGCAAAATGTACATTTCCATAGGGTTAAGATGTTAATATTGTTTGTATGTGCAGTTGCAGCATCAGTATTCATATTTTATGTTTCTGTTACAACTGATGAGAATCTAATATCCAGATAGAATGGTATTACAGATCATCACTTCTCCATATATTCCATATTGAAACATTTGTTTTGTATATTCCATATTGAAACATTTGTTTTTCAACTGATATTAAGTGAGAATTATTCAGTTTTGTAAATATTGTGGATATAATTCTAAGCACAAACAATTTGTTTCTTCTCCAAAACAGTTTTTTATAATGTGTTGAGGTTTGAAGTTAATTTTTTGTGTTCAACAATTGTAGAAGTA